TGATGTGAACTAATGACAGGGTTGGCGTAGAAGAGATAGGGGAAAACTTGGTTCAGCGTTGTATTAAAGGTAAAAAAAAATGTCACCATTTTAAAATGTTTTTAAACGAAAATAACACGGTAGGGGGGACTAAGAAAAGAAGTGCATTGCAACAGAGAATAAGAAAAACTAATAAGACTGGTGTAACCCTTTAAATCTGAAATTCAGTTTGAATTCTCACTTTAGCAAATAACCACATCAGTCTCAAAAATCACTACATAAAATAATGTGAGTGTGATTAACTGAGATAGTCACAGTGTACAAAAAAAAAAATTAAAAAAATTATTACACTTCAACTGTAGTGCAATTCCACTATACGTACTTGCTGCTAATGGCTTCCAAATAATTCACCATAAATTTCCACTATCTTGGTTGAACACTAAACTCCAGATTTTACAAACGTAAAATCCAAAAGTGAAAATAAGGGCTAAAAGATCTGATTTGGAAAATAAAAAGTCTCACTTATTTATATTCATGGCTTGGCTATTTTAGATGTGAATTTGCTGCAATATGGAGTTCAGTGAAGAACCTGTTGGCTATTTTCAGTATAGCTTGCTGAGTGGGCACAGGATGTGCTGCATGGCAGGTGGACACCTTCTAGGTATTATATATTATTACGTGTATCATAAAAAGTATATCTACCAGTAGGCCTGCATACAGAGTATCAGTTCCAGTTTGGGACTCCTATCTTTTTCCAGGCCCCTAAAAGTGCAGTGATACCAGGCCCGAACTGGACATCGCGCAAACCTTGCAAATGCCCTGTGAGACATGTGTCAAGTTCCTATCCTGACTAGCAAGACTTTTTTCCATTTGAGACTGTTCCTTTAAATCCAGTACCTGTTTCTCGCCTCTAGTGGCCTCCCTAGTCACCTCAGACTCTCACCTGTATAGAATGAATCAAATTTTGCTGTAAAAGGCCACACCCAACCTTAATTGCTTCCAACCCTGCTCCATTCCAACTTGGACTGCTTACAATCCTGCTTTATCCTGCCTACCTGGTTTACTTCCAACCCTGCTTCATACCAACCTGATTTATACAAACCTGCATAAACGTTATCTGGGCATTGCTGCTCACTCTTATTTACAAAGTGTTATTTTCATACCCTGAAACCTTATTGTTCTTAATACCGGTCTTACTATTCTATTTATACTTTTATCTCTAGCTTTCTTATTATTTACAAATCTGTTTATTATCTATATAGGGCATATTGCCTTAATGTTTATTTCTCACTTTCCTTCTCGTTATTTAGTTCTATAAGTTATTCTGCTGATATGTCACAACCTACCAATAAAGCTTCTTTAGTTAACGCTGGCAATCGTCTCCTACTTGATCAAAAGCATGACAACGTGATGGCCATAGGCTGAAGCAGACAGGGAAGATGAGAAATTCTCCCTTGCCGGTCCATGCAGGGCCAGAACTATCCAAGCTAATATCTCCCTCACTGGCCTACTCACACTGAAATCCAGCAAGTAGGACCCAGAGGCTCTAGCCTGCAGCTCCACAGGGTCCTTTACATTCCTCTCAGGATGTCGAATGGTTACTGGGGTTACCATGGCATTGCTCTGACAAGCAGGATCTTGCAACAGTGAAATCTAGACGGAGAAGCTTCAGGCTAGAGTTCACTTATCATTGGATTACTTGGGTTTGTAATGTGCCTCCTGCTGAGGCAAGTGTAAAGTGTAAGAAAGGAGGCAGGATATAAAGTTTATTTTTTTAATTAATGTAAAAAAATAAATTGAAAAAAAAATGTATTTCACTCCCATATGAGACAGACCATGACACAGACACACACACACATACACTGACAGACTGACACATAATATAGCTACCTATGGGCGACCGGCCAGGGAGTCATGCAGGGCAGATAGCTGGGTCAAATATGCTAGCGGCCGCAGGGGAATCTGGCTGTGCTGGCTCTGCTCCCAGCACGCAGCTTAATGAGACCGGGGCCAGAATATGATGTCGGCTAAGGTCTCATTAAGTAGCGTGTGAGGGCAGGGGAGCAGAGCCAACACAGCCAGCTTCCCCTGCGGCCGCCAGAACAGCAAGCTCCAGCTTCCCCTGCGGTGTTAGAACAGCCAGCTCCCCCCTGCGACCGCCAGAACAGCCAGCTACCCCCTGCGGCCACCAGCACAGACAGACAATTTCCCGGTATCCCGGTGGGCCAGTCCGGTCCTGACTACATTCAAGACAAATGCACATTGCATTGTAGGGACATCCCTTATAGACACTCTTCACAAATCCCCCTACACAAACACTAAATACCCTATTCACACTCTGGATCAGATATACACACACACACACTACACTCCTGACATACCCACAATAAAACCCCTGTACACAAACACACACTGCAGCCCCTATACACAAACACACACACACTACAGCCCCTATGCATACACTCGCAACATCCCCTTTTCACACTATTCTCCACACAATCTCACTCTCTACATCCCCAAACCACACATTTGACACCACAAACATAACTAACTGACCTGTTTGCACAAAATACCACACCACAATCGGCTTTCCTGGCCCTTTTGTGCTCTGGTATCCCTCTTATAGAGACATCAGAGATAAGTCGAACATAACCCAGGCATATCATTAAATTTGCTTGTGCTGCGCAGAACAAACACAGAGCCTTTTTCTCATGCAAGAGCCCTTCAGCAAGGCACTGCTCATTGGTGGCCCAGGAGGAGCACTGAATCAACATGCTCACTTGGAGAGAGAGGACGTACTGGTCATTGGTTATGACAAAACACCTACTTTCTGGTCCTGCCCCCAGTGAGCCGTTGCGATAAAAAGAAAAATGCCCAGGCTGAAGTTTTCTTCCCTGTCCGACCCAAAGTATCCACTCACCATTACAGGATTTTATTATTTTTTTTTTTCAAGAGATTTATCAGTGGCAGGGCTTCCTGTGAATTTTAAAAACATTTTTCTGAAAAAATATGTAAAAAAAAATAATTAAGTTTTAACATAGCCAAGTACAGCATCACATATTCTGTTAAATTGTATAGGTTATTATCATTACTACAGCTATAAAGTACTACCAATTAACAATGAAAAGGAGTCTTTCAAATTGGTAAGAAGAGCTTATGTGCTATTATTGTTATTATTTTATTTATATAGTGCCATCACATTCCGTAGCGCTGTACAATGGGTGGACTAACAGACGTAATTTTAACCAGACAATTGGACGTACAGGAACAGAGGGGCGGAGGGCCCTGATCAATGAGCTTACATTCTAGAGGGAGTGGGGTATAGTGACACAAAGGGTAAAAGTAGGGGTACGATGTAGGTTGTTAGAAAAGTATTCATTGAGGGCTTAGTAGGTCATTTTTGACAGTTGCAGGAGAGGAGTCATGGTGGTGGGGGATAAAAACCTGCTAACAGTTTAATTGATATGCTTTCTTGAAAAAGTGAGTTTTCAATGATTTCTTGAATGAGAGGAGCCTGGGTGGAAGTCTTACGGAGAAGGGAATTGAGTTCCACAGAAGAGGTGCAGCCCTGGAGAAATCTTGGAGGCGAGCATTAGAGGAGGGAGTACGGACAAAGGATAGCATGGAAAGGAATGTTATGTAAAGGAAGTTAAAAAGATACTATTAAACAAACACTGAACTGTTTGGAGTGAGCCCATGGTCTCTATTAAAAGGAATTTAATACTGTAACTTCAACAATTTTCTTATTGATTAACCATATGCATAGCTGAATAACAACCAAATACCCAAAAAAAAAACCCCACACATTTTGGCTTTTTAATACACAATCTAACCCTTATTAATTTATTTAGGCAGGCAAATTAACCCCTCCCCGACTGCGGACGTACCAGATACGTCCGACAAAAAACGGTTATTAACAACCACAGACGTAGCTGGTACATCCATCCGCGGTAAATAGGACACATTTACTTACCTGGACTTCAGGGCCATGTGATCACCATGATCAGATGGCCGCAACAGGAGTCTATGGAGCTGCCAGGAGGGAGACTGTCTGAGCTGTCAGGCAGTCCCCCAGCCAGCTAAAAGTGTAAATAAATATATATGTATATTATAAAATAATTAAAGCATTTTATAATATATTATACATATATAATGCATATATATGATTGCATTATAAGAGTATTTTGAGATATGTGTATCTCAAAATACACTTATAATGCAATCATATATATGCATAATATAAAATGCTTTATTTTATAATATATTATACATATATATGAAATAAGTGTGTGTATATAATATAAATTTAAAAAAAAAAAACTAAACACATATACAATTTATATTGGATCACACTGGATCTTGTGTATTGTATAATTTGGCCCCCAGCAGCACCCCATTTATGCATGTTCAGGTGAGTGCAGCCTCCCCACCTGTTTCATATATATAACCCTACAAAGAAGTGTGCAGCGCATGTAAAAATGTTCACAAAACCATATATAAGTGAAACTTCCACCTTAGGTGAACATATAAAGCAAATTGAAAATAATAATGGATAAGTACCCCATGTAATCGTTATCATGAGGTGTGTATCTTATCTATGAAAAATAGAAAGATTATAGCATAACACTGTGATAGTGAATAGATCTAATATAGCAGTCTGTATGGTCCAACTCACATATAATGGAGCCTGTTACAAACTGGCTCAGGTATTGTCGCTTTAAAAGGATATCCTCAGATGAATTCACAAGAACTGCGGCTTGATCCTCAGTGTAAGAGAGGAGTAAAGTGCACAAACACCAATTAGAAATATAGCAACAGTACTATTTATTAAAAAGAATTATAAAAGCTTACATATAAGATTCTGGAATACCAGCAAGAAGCACAAGGCGTTTCGATGCTAAAATACGTCTTCCTCAGGTGCAATATCATAAACACACTCTATCCACAATTTAAAATAAAATTTTGGTGCGGAAACGGGTACTTAGAACCCGCCCCCCGCGTCCATAAACCAATCAGCTTCATCCCTTATGTCTCCCAATCCAGTCCTCTGTAGTGCCGTCATCATATCCTCCTACTTCCGCATTCATGCGTTCCATCGCGAGTACTTCCGGGTTCGCTTGCGTTCCATCTCTGATGCCGATGCGTTCCAACGCTCTTTTCATGCGGTTCACTACAGAAAGTCACTCAAATACTTCTTCACCTTCACCAATACTTCAAATAATTGTCCAAATGAGTCCCTATAATATATAAAACTCCAGAACACAATCCCCACATAAAAATAGGGAGTGGGAGGGGTGAAAAAAAAAAAAAAAAAGGGGACATAAAAGTATATCAGTAAAAATACCCATAAATAATAAAATAAAATATAATTAAAAGACTACATCAAGAATTAATATTTATTATATGTAAATTATACATCTCGAAATCAATGTTAAGGCCATTTGGAGAGAGGGTTTCCAACTCAAAAATCCACTTCATCTCAGTTTTATTCAGAATTCTTAAGTGGTCTCCCCCTCTCCAAGGCTTTTGAACTCTCCGTATCCCCATAAAGTGCAAATTATTAGTTCCACCACCATGAACTTGATTAACATGTGCAGATACAGAGTGATTAAGGACTCCCTTCTGTATATTTCTGAGGTGTTCACAAATTCTAACCTTGAGGGGTCTGGTCGTATGTCCTACATATTGTAGTCCGCATATACATGTTAATAAATAAATTACATTATTTGAATTACATGTGATAAAATCCTTTACATCATATTCTTTCTTAGTTTTATTAGAATGAAATTTTTCCGTTTTCTTATTTAAAATTTTGCTAGTACTACATGCTTTACAATTCCCGCAATTATAAAACCCTTTTAAATCATTCCCCTGTACATCTCTATTCTTTTGGGGATTTTTTAAAGATAAAACTGCTAGTTAAAACATTTTTAAGATTACTAGCCCCTCTATATACTATTCGTGGTTTCTCCCCTATATATGTAAGGAGATCCTCGTTTTGTCTCAGGATATGCCAGTGTTTCTTAAGAATTTTATGGAATAAATGACTTTGAGAGTTATAATCGCATACAATAGGGACTTGTTATATATATATATATATATATATAAATAGCGAAGGCTTGCACTCCTGGTGTAATCCTGTGGTGCCCGGTGCTGGTCTGGCAAGGATCATGTAGACATAGCAGAAATGACCGCACTCCAAGGACTTTATAGAGATTTTCAAATAAAATTTAGCTTTTATTCAATCCATTTAAAAAGTCAACGTTTCAGCTCCCACATGGAGCTTTCATCAGGACATGTTTTGTCCTGATGAAAGCTCCATGTGGGAGCTGAAACGTTGACTTTTTAAATGGATTGAATAAAAGCTAAATTTTATTTGAAAATCTCTATAAAGTCCTTGGAGTGCGGTCATTTCTGCTATGTCTATATATATATATATATATATGAAACAAGTGGGGAGGCTGCACTCACCTGAACATGCATAAATGGGGTGCTGCTGGGGGACAAATTATACATTTGCATACGCTTACCCAGAATCCCTTGCAGTAGTGAGAGCACTGTTAAAGTGAGATTTCTGTGGGAAAAGCAAGTCTTATGGCGTGACTGGTGTGTGTATTTGTGTTTAGCAATGTATTAACTTTCCACAATGTAATGTAACTAAACACCAAAAAAACAAAAAAGATTTCAGACCTAATAGGTGTTACCACCCTTTAGGTCTTCTATCTTTAAGAGTGCAGCGCTGTATAGTGTGTAAAAACACAGTGAATTACCTGTGGTTCAAAGGCAATTATCCTTTATATTCTCCAATGTAATATATATACAAAAGAAAACAGAAATATATACAGATAATTGTGCAGTATATCTATTACTTTAGTGAAGTGTTTAGTGGGTAACATATATATCTCCACTCACATTTTTTAGAGCCTTTTCAAGTGAATAAGGCTCTAAACTTTCGTGTGTCTGTGTCTTTAAGGGTAGATCACACGACCCCTCTCTCCAGGTTCTGTGTGTATTTTCCTCTCCCCAGCGTATATAAAAGACACAGGATTATCCAACTAAGTGTAGCATCCTTTTGTAATATTTTCATATAAATAACAAATTAAAGTGCTCACCTTATTTAGAGCCTTTTGGTAACTGGCTCTAAGTGTATAGGCCTAGTGTCAATTTGTGGGGTGACACTGCCCCTTCCCTAGAATCACTGGTACTGGATACAGTGGATAGTATAAAATAAGGGAATTTATTACAATGTATATAAAAACAGTATAAAAATATTTCTAGAAAATAAAAAATTGGATAAGAACAAAATATTTCAAGTATTGGTGGTTCAGAAAAAAGAATGAGTCCACTTTAAAAGCCAAAACGCGTTTCGCCGGTAAAAACGGCTTCCTCAGTCAGCTTATTCACTTGAAAAGGCTCTAAAAAATGTGAGTGGAGATATATATGTTACCCACTAAACACTTCACTAAAGTAATAGATATACTGCACAATTATCTGTATATATTTCTGTTTTCTTTTGTATATATATTACATTGGAGAATATAAAGGATAATTGCCTTTGAACCACAGGTAATTCACTGTGTTTTTACACACTATACAGCGCTGCACTCTTAAAGATAGAAGACCTAAAGGGTGGTAACACCTATTAGGTCTGAAATCTTTTTTGTTTTTTTGGTGTTTATCTTTGTATGGTGGGCTTTTAGGAGTACCCACAGAGTGAAAACAGCAGCTAAAATACACTATTCACATTAATTACTCAGCGCCACATATTCCACACCTATTGTTAATATATTCATTAATGTAACTAAACCCCCATTATTTTTTTGTCTAGATTAGGTGTTTAAAAAAAAAAAAAAAAAAAAACTAATAAAATCTGTCAACATTGAAGTTGCTGTTTAGTGGATAGGTGAGTGCAGCCTCCCCACCTGTTTCATATATATAAATAAAATGTGTGTGTGCATATATAAAGCATTTTATAATATAGACACAGACACACACACACACACACACACACACACGTGTGTGTGTGTGCGCGCACGCGCGCATATGTGTATGTAATGGGGTGCTGCTGGGGGCCAAACTATACAATACACAAGATCCAGCGCACTCACCTATCCACTAAACAGCAACTTCAATGTTGACAGATTTTTTTATTAGTTTTTTTGTTTGTTTTTTTAAAACACCTAATCTAGGCAAAAATAATGGGGGTTTATTTACATTGTATGAGATATATATATATATATATATATATATTTTGATTTTTTATTTATAATATTTATATTACGTGTGTATATATATAGTTAATACATTGCTAAACAAAAATACACACCAGTCAAGACAAATTTTTGCCTCACAATTCCACTTTATGCATGGATTCCTTGGAGTATGTGTCTGCTGTATACAACAGCTTTGAAACACAACTCCAGTGAACCACTCATGAACAGCTATTGCGTTGTTAATGTAACTCATCAGCAAGAGGCTGGTTACTGGCTTGCAATGGAGGCTTGGCGTTACTGAGTGTCCATGAGCGGTTCACTGGCTTTGCTACTTTTCCTGAGTTGTGTTTCAAAACTGTTGTATACAGCAGACACATACTCCATGGAATTATGAGCAAACATGTGGTTCTTTGTTGAGCTCCTTTGCATACACTTACCCAGAATCCCTTGCAGTAGTGAGAGCACTGTTAAAGTGAGATTTCTGTGGGAAAAGCAAGTCTTATGGCTTGACTGGTGTGTGTATTTGTGTTTAGCAATGTATTAACTATCCACTTCAGGTGGAAGGGGTTTTCATCCACACTTTTTTCCCCACCACAACTCTCTTGGTATGAGAGAGAGATTAGAGATTAGAGATAGACACAAAAAATATGTTAAACCCCTGCACTCCAAAAAAAAAAAATAATAATAAAAAAAAAAAAAAAAAAACTATTTTACCTGGTGCTCTGGTGGCTCAATTGTAGAGAGTAGAAGGAAACCGGCACTCAAGGAATTTTAGCAAATTTTTACTGTGTAAAAATAAAGCAACGTTTCAGCTCCTCTAGGGAGCTTTCATCAGGACATGAAAGCTCCCTACAGGAGCTGAAACGTTGATTTATTTTTACACAGTAAAAATTTGCTAAAATTCCTTGAGTGCCGGTTTTCTTCTACTCTCTCTATATCTACATCTACATCTACATACACATATTTATCTACAAAATTATTTGATTTTATTAATTATAATTTGAGGGACCTGCCTGAAAATCCAGAGAATTTAATTTGCAAGCCCTATATTTAACCCTGTAACTTTCCAAAACACCATAAAACCTTTACATGTTGGGGTATTGTTATACTCTCGAGACTTCCCTGAACACAAATATGAGTATTTTAAAATATAAAACTTTTCACGACGATGATATCACAGTTTTTGTTTAAAAAAAAATGCAAAATAAATAAAAATGCTAACTTTGGCCAGCGTTAATGACTACGTGGCTACTACAAAAGACTGGAAATACCACAGTTTGAATACCCTGGGTTGTCTACATTTGAAAATGGTATGCCATGATGAGGTTAATTCACATTCCTGGGCTGCCATACCATCTCAAAGGCAACATAGCCAATCTGGCAAGTAGCAATTTATCAATTCAGAAATTGGCAAATCTTATGTGTGACCCTGTAACTTTTCAAATCACAATAGAACCTGTACTTGAGGGGTACTGTTGTACTCGTGAGACCTTACTCTACACAAATATGATTGTTTTAGAGCAGTAAAATATATGATACTGATAATGTAATCGGTGAAATGGCAGTTTATGTGTAAAAATGAAAAAAAAAAAAAAATTATATATATATATATATATATATATATATATATATATATATATATATATATATATATATATATATATATATATATATATACATATATATACACACACACACACACACTAATTTTGGCCAGGGTATGTGACTAAGTGGCTACTAAAAGAGACTGGACATACCCCAACCGTGGGTTGTCTACTTTTATCTGGACTCCAGGGCTATGTCATCACGATAATACTATAATGGTTGCATGAAAAGAGTCAAAATACTCCAAGTTTAATACCTTAGGTTGTCTTCTTTTAAAAAAATATATACATGTGAAGGGTTATTCAGGGATTCCTGACAGATATCAGTGTCACAATGTAACTGTCGTTAATTTTGAAAAAGAAAAATGGATTGGAAATAGCAAAGTGCTACTTGTACTTATTGCCTTATAACTTGCAAAACAAAAAAAAGCCAAGAACATGTTAACATTGAGTTTTTCTAAACTCAGGACAAAATTTAGAAACTATTTAGAAAGGGTGATTTTTGCCGGTTGTAGATGCGCAACAGATTTTGGGGGTCAAAGTTAGAAAAAGTGTGTTTATTTTATTTTTTCCCCATCATATTTTATAATTTTTTTATAGTAAATTCTATGATGAAAATAATGGTATCTTTCGAAAGACCATTTAATGGCGAGAAAAACTATATTTATAATATGTGTGGGTACAGTAAATAGGTAAGAGGAAAACAGCTAACACAAACCGCGTAGAAATGTAAAAACAGCCCTGATTCTTAACGGTAAAAAATGTTTTAAAAACGGTCTGGTCACTAAGGGGTTAAAATTCCAAATAAGGACCACAACAAAAATGACAGAAAATGACAGGCATGGGGGGGATGGCTGTGCAGGTTATTGCAGTCAATTTCATTTTATGGCGGTCTGTGAGATGCACCTTACAGGCCGCCACATTTATACTCTTATTTTCCTGTGCAAAAACAGTGCCAACAATTTATGGAAGCGACAGAGAGGTATTGACCCCTCTGTTCCTTCCAAACACACATATAGACAAGGAATAACTTACAGTAGTGATGGTGCGCAACAACAAATAAATAAAAATCGTATTCACTATGGACCTCTTATAGAGAGTGAAAGTAACCCTGTGTACATAAAATGAGGTGTTTACAGAGTGGAAATATTATAAATACTTTTAAAACCAAACAGTGGTTGTGGTAAAACAAAACAATCTGTAGGTATACTTGCAAACATGGAAATCACTCTGACACCTATTAAGGAGACAAAAACAGAAAGAGAGCTCCTAGTGCAGCGTAGTAATTTGCTTAGAAATATAAAAAATAAAGCAAACAGAGGTGCCCTTTAGGTGTTACACTCACAAGATTGGAGTGGTAAAAGCACCACTCGTTGCTATAGCACTCAGGGAGGATCAGCCCCTAGTGCGTGGGATCCGTGGAAAGGAAGCTTGCAATCCGGATCTCAGGTAAGTATACTTTATTAATAACAATAAAAAACAGCAAAACTTGTTGTGGAGTTAGTTAGTCCACTCTCCAGCCTCAGGAAACCGCAAAGAAAGTTCCATATACTTATGTAATATAAATAAATCTTCTGGCTGCTATCCTGGTTGCTGTTGCCGACTGTCTCCAAATCACTTCCTGGTTCCGGGTCCGTAATGCATTTCGCCCCACTCACAGGGCTTTGTCAAACGGCTGTAGCTTCCTCCCAGTATCCTGTGTCTTATATACCCCAGTCCATGTTACCAACCATTTTAAAATCAATACAAACTTTCTCATCAACATTTCAGAGTCCAAAATAAGTCTCTTATTAGTAGCACTGCTGATCCCAGTGCCAACTGGTAGAAATGGGGTCTTAGATATTTAAAA